CTCCCCACGCAGCAGGGGGGCCCCCAGGGTTCTACAAACTGGGCCGCTTTAAGAGGGGTGGGCTTCAACTCCCAGAACTCCCCAGCCAGTCCACCCCTCTCAGTGGCCCAGTTTGAAAAATGCTGAGTTAGGCTAACAGGGCAGAAACAGGGGCAGCCCTCACCAGCCGCGCTGAGCCTCTTGCATCGAAACAAGACGCAGCCCTTCAGGAGAGGCGGCTGGAAGCACGGGCCCTGCCGCCCTTCAAGAGACAAGCCGGGGCATCATCAGCTTTCTTTGGGCCCCAGCCTCTGGACCACCGCCACACTTCAGCCACCCATCACGTCCTTTAGGCCCCGTCTTCTGGCCCTCCGCCTTGCTAAAAGTCATGCCAGCCCTGAGTGCGACCCCCTCGCTTTGCGCCATGAGGACTCTGCACACAAAAGCCCTTACGTCCACACCTTCCACTCAAGACACACCTGCTTGGGCCCCGCTCCAGCGACCGAGGGAGGCGGAGGCTTCTCTTCCGGCTTGGCCGACTGGGGCTTCTCCTTCGAAGGGGCCGGCGTGACGGGAACAAGCAGATCAAGTCAAACTAGGCCCCAGAAACCCTATGACGAGGCAGGCCTACGCGCACGCACGCACGCACACCCGCACACACGTGCATATATGCTTGTGAACGCTTGCATGGAGAACTCCAGGGCACGTTCTGTCCACGTGTCACGTGGAAAGAATGGAGCACACGCTGGGGTGAAGACAAGCTCACTTTTCAAGCCCCAAGCGCTCTCGGTGGATGCAGCGCAAATACCCCGATTTCCCTCCAGGTCTGAACCAAACAGAAATTGGCCACTCCTCAGAGAAGCGTCTCTTCCCACCTCCCACCCAAATCTTTAACTTTAGTTAACACAATAGTCAAGTGTAGAAACATCACTCCAATCAAGCAAAAAAAAAAAAAGGGTGTGAATGACGGGAAATCCCACCATCTGATTTGCCACCGTTTCCATTGCAAAGCTGGGAGGTTCATCTGCTCCCTTCAACATTTGTGCGTGTCTTCAGCCTTATTAGTCAAACGTGTCACACCAAGCAGTGTTAGCAAAACCAAAATATGCTTCTCCAGATCTTGATGCAGAGGTTTTACTCTCTCATGGTACAAGGCGATGCAGCAAGATTACAGGCAGTCCTCGCTTAACAACCACAACTGGGGCTAGAATTTAGGTCACTAAGGGATGCAGTCATTAAGCAAATCATTCTGTGACCAGACCCAATTTTACATCCTTTTTTTGCGGTGGTCATTAAGTGAATCGCATGGTTCCCCATCGATTGTGCTTGCTGGAAGTCGGCTGGGAAGGTCACAAGTGGCAATCGTGTGACCCCGGGATGCTGCAACCCCTGTAAGTGCAAGCTGGTTGCTAAGCGCCCAGATCACAATCACATGACCGCAGGGGTGCTGCAATGGTCGTAACTTTGGGCACCAGTCATGAGTAGCTTTTTTTAGTGCCGCTGTAACTTTGAAGGGTCGCTAAACAAACAGTTGTTAAGCGAGGACTACCTGTACCAGGAATTCAATCAAGGGACAAGATGGGAGATGGTGAGAAAATGCATTCCCACTCCTGAAGATGGATTGGTCCTCAACCAAAGGACCGCACCAGTTTCATCAGGGGATGCAAGACAAGGACTGAAACCACCCTGGCCTTTAACAAGAGAAAGCAAACATTTCCCAACCACAATGTTACAACCTGAACTGACTTGTGAAACTGAATCCCCAGCTTTCCCTTGCAGTTGTCTACTTGTATTTTGGCTCATCCTCAAAGCTAAAAGTGCCCACAACTGGTACCAGCTGGTGGGCAGGTGCAGAGGAAGAGACACTCACACCAAACAGTGCTTTGGCACAGCAGGATTAGAGCAGGCCCCATGCACTGAGAACTGTACGTTAACCAATGCCTACTGGACTCTCTTTCAAAACAAAGAACAAACCACACGCCACAGAGGGTTCGCTTGCCCCCCCACCAAAGACCGTGCACGTGCACCCTGGTACCTGGCGTGCGGCACTCGCTTCCTGGGTGGCTGGCTTTGCCAGGGCCTCAGATGACCGCTTGGGCTCCTGGGTGCTTTTGGCATCCAAGGACTTCCCTTCCGGAAGGGGTGGGGGCTTAGTCTTCTCAGGGGGGGCCGCCTCCTCTTTCCTCCCATGCTGCCTGGAGTGGGGTCGATGTTCTCTAGTCTTGGCTCTTGACATCAGGCTCTTCAGCCCCACAGAGAGGTCATCCTTGAGGGCAGCCTCCTTGGGCTCAGACTTCAAGGATGGAGATGGCCGAGGAGGGGGAGAGAGTATTCTGGGGGGTGGGGAGAGAACCCTGGGGGGAGGCTTTTCCTCCTTTTTGCTTGGCTCAGGGCACTTGTTATTCTTCGGCGGCTCCTTGGAGACTTCACCGTCCTCCCCAGGAAGCACTCTGTGGACCGCCTTGCGCACCACCTTCACCATTCTTTTACGGGAGAGGCCCTGGGCATCATCTCTGGGGGCCTCGGGCTGAGGCTCTGAGACGGTTCCTTGGGGCCCTTCCAGGCCATTCACAGCTTCGCTGGAATGCTGGGCATCCCCGTTGATCAGTGGGTCTGTACTCTTCACTTTCCCAGAACGCTTGGGAGGCTCCGGGCTCTGGAGATGGCGGGGTTCTTCCTTTTCTGCACTCAAGGAATCTGACTACAGTCACAGATACATCAAGGGGTCACGAGCGGGCCCAGCCACCAAAGCCCCGCAGCATCTCCCAAGGCTCGGCCATCAGATCTGCCCGGACTAAGACCACCAGGTGGCTCTCCCAGACCCCCTCCCTGGATAAGAAACTGCTGACCCACAGCAAGAAAACGCCCTACTTCAGGAGCATTCAAGAGAAGCAATGCAGCCAAGGCCAGGCTGCAACCAAGTGGCGTGGGAAGGGGCACCAAGAAGCAAGGTGGAAAAAAAGATTGTGGCTGGCTACCCGTGAGGGCTCCATAAAAAACCCCGGGAGGGAGAGCTGTAAACCATTCCACCACCACCACCACGTTTCTGTCTCCCTTCCTCTGCCGCCTCCTTTCTCTCTCTCCTGCCCCTTTGTATCTGCCCTATCTTCCCAGGGCCACCAACCTACTCCCCTCTCCTTCTCCCCACAAGATTACAGCAAAACCAGTAACACCAACGAAACTGTAGGAACCTTCAGCTCCCTACAGAAGGGCTGAGGATAACCATGACCCTAACCACAATTCTCTCCCTTCCCCCCTTACCCCCCAACGCCACATTTCCTTTAGCCCTAAAACAACCAGCACGGGCTGCCAAGGCAGATGAAGAGGGCATCGGGGCCACAGTGCCCACCTGACCCAAACTTATCTCGACCTTAAAGTTGGCCCAGACTAGACTAAAGTCACACTCAGGCGCAGATTCACTTACAGGCCCTTCCTCTTTCCCATTTTTTTTCACTGTTAAAGGTTTGTCTTCATCCTTAACCTGAGGAATGCAAAGAGAAAAGAGGCAACGTTTCATTCACGCAAGGCAGAAGTGTTTGAAAGCAGCATGCACACACGTACACACACACTTTTCTGCTTGTATGGTCCTAGTACGTTGAGGTTTCCATAGGCATCAAAGGGGCCAGGCTTGCTCCCTGGAGCCCTGCTTTGACACCGCTGCTAGATCCCAGCGGCAGCCACTGCCAAACCTCACCGCTGGGGTCTCCAGGAAGGAACAGCGCTCCGGGAGGATCCAAGCAAGAAGAAAACCAAGCCAGCAACAGCTGGGATCCACGGGGTTTGAAGGAAAGTCTAGCCTCACAATAGTGGCCCACTCGACCGCGTGGCCAGGAACTGCTCTTCACCTGCACGGCCAATGCAGCCTTCAGGCCCAAGAAACACTGGGAATTCTGCGGGGGGGGGGGATTTATTTGTTTTTATTTATTTACTGCTTCAATCCTCAGACGCCAGCCAGATTATAGACATTTTAGGAGGACAGCCGTGTTATCAGGAGCCTGGTAGCGCCTTTTCTGACTAAAACATTTCATTTAAAGGCAGACGCCTTTGTGCCTACCGACCCATGTAGGATTTAAATTTTATTTTGTTATTATATTTCCTTCCTCTTCTTGTTCTTTTGGGATGCTAATGGTTTGGGAAAAATCAGGAGGAGTCTGGCAGCATCTTTTAATAAGCTCACAAAAGCTTCGGCCTTCTAATAAAATTTGTTAGTCAAAAAGGTGCTGCCAGACTCTTCCGGATTTCCTGCAGCTGCTTTATAGTTTTCAAACTCAGGGCAGTTTGCAGAAAATTATGCAAGAAACTTGCAGAGGATACGCTCAAAGCAAACCACGGCCAGCATTATTCACGGGGACGCAATTCAATGAACCAACAGCACGTTAC